TATACCGTCAAATCAGATCTGACTGGTACAGGAGGAGATTGCTCCTCCTTCTCCAGCAGAGCATCTGTTGTGTTTTTTTAAAATGTATGTAATTGACGGTTGCTATGTTTAAAGACATTTAGTGACAAAGTAGTTGAGCGCTCAGGTTATAAGTTCATACCCTCCAACCCCTCACAGGAGAAAGATGTGGCAGTCTGCTCTGCTTTCAAGTTGCAAATGACTCATAGCTGACCCTCCAGGAGGTTTTCAGAGATTATAAATATCACAGCAGGAGACTACCTTTTTCCCACTAAGCCACTGGTAGATTTGAACCACACACCTTTAGGTTGGCAGCACATCTCCTTACCAGTACACCACACTGTGAGACAGTTCTGCTCTTTCCTATAGGGTTGTTATGAACATTTTTGTGTGGTAGGTATGTTATGATTTTTGGTTGTTTTTTATTATTTTAAAAAAGGGCTATATTCTAAGACTATGTTCCAAGATATAAAATGAATGAAAAATAATAGCATAGGAAAAAGTACCACCTCACTGAATCTGTTTCATCTCTTTACAGTACTATGCAAGATGACATTTTTATTCTCCATGAGCAAGAATATGACAGTTTGCTTGAATCTGTCTTCAAAACAGAATTCTTAAGCCTCTTAGCAAAGCGTTATGAGGAAAAAACCCAGAAGCAACTACCTCTGAAATTCAGCAATACGTAAGTTAAGATCTGGGGTCCAAACTTCTGAAGGAAAAAAAATGAAAAGCTTATGCTCAGCCCAGGATCCAGGCGGGGAAGAGAAGAAGTTGTGGGCAGGTGTGGGATCTGCCTGGCGCAGGTGGCTTCAGCTCTGAATGCCTCCGCTTCTCCCATGGGAATGTCCAGATAACTGTCACAGACATTGAAAAGGACCCTTTTGCATTTCTGGGAAAGAATGACTTCACAGAATGGTGCATGTGAACATCTAGACAAATGACAGCAAAATGACAAGGGAAAGATAGGTTTTCTATATCGTCACTGAAAATCTAATATTTAGGAGAGCTTCAAGAATAATGTTGGAGACAGAAGAAAGGGATCGGGGGAAAGAATCCATGGTTTTCTGGGGCATTTGGGGACGTGGCTGTTGAACATCAGTTTTTTTTCTGTCAGCTCACGTTCATTTGCAACATGGTGAAATGGACCAGACATTGGTCTGCTGTTGGGCCTCTAAACTCATATTTGCTGAGTACTTGTTATTTCACTTTTCATAAAAGTCCCGATCTAAAATGGACTCTCTTCCATCTCTCCCTGCACACAAGAGTGAGGCCTAAACAAATCTTCAGTTCCACAGGGAAGGAAACCTATAATAACCAGTGCTTCTGTGGTTGCTGTTAAATACTGGTGGCTGTACGAATTCATTACAGCTTTCCCTAAGAGCAACATGGACCTTGATGCCAGATGTCATTATTTGTTTCTGGGATTTTGTGGTAAAAAAAGTACCTCAAATTATGGAAAACATGTATAGACACTTAATATAGTATAATTTTCAGTTACTTAGCCTTCTATATTTTTTCCTCTTACAAAATAAGAAAGTCTAAATTTAAAAATATGGAAGTACATTATGTAGACATATGGAAAGGAGCCCAGATGGTGTAATGGTTAACCACTTAGCTGCTAACTGAAAGGTTGATGGTTCAAACCCAGCAGCAGCTCCACCAGACAAAAGACCTCATAATTTGCTTCTGTAAAGATATCAGGTGAGGAAGCCCAATGGGGGAATTTTACTCTATCCATGAGGGTCATAACGGGTCAGAATTGACTTGTCTACACACAACAAGGCAGGTGGGCAATGTGGAGAAATGGAAATTGAGTCCTGTTGTTTGTCTTTTTCTCCTATTTTGGCTCAGGGATGCTGGTAGTAATTAACTAGTTAATTAGCAAATATATTTTATGCTAAGGAGTCTTCACCTGTCTTGTGCCTGGCATCTTTCAGCCCTCCATACAGCCAGGGAGAGCAGAAAGGTACAAGAAAACAGTAGGCATGATTTACAAATTATCCCTTTCCTTCTGTCCCATCTGAAACCACCTGGCTGGTCGTCGTGACGGAGTGGCATTGAGATTTCAGGTGGAGCTGGTTTCTCACAGGTGCTGGGCCTCACCTGTTTCTCCCCCTGGTCCAGTGGGCTTGTCCCATAGCCAAGCTATCCTGAGATGCTCCGCGGGCCCCGTGCATGGTTTGGAGACTCAGCTCATTTGTACACCTGGTTTGCCAAGCACCAGAACTCCATGCCAGGGCCTATGGGCACCTTTGTCTTATTGGTTCATTCCATCTTGTTTACTACAACAAATGTGCTTGTCACAGGCTTGAACTGAAGCTGAAAAAGGAGAACTGGGGTCCCTGGAGTGCAGGCGGCTCCCGGCAAGTGCAGTTCCATCAAGGCTTTGGCGACCAGGCCATCCTCAAGCCCAGTAACAAAGTGCTGCAGGTCAGCATCGGACCCGGGCTGCCCAAGAACTCCCGTAAGTGCCTGCTGGGCAGCCTCTGGGCTCTCCTACCTGGCTCTGCCTCTTCCTGCTCTGCTGCCCAGCCCTCCTCTTAGCAGATGCTGATGATAGGTGCAAGGCTGGCTACGCTTGTGACGGGAATGGAACATTTCAAACTAGGCCAGTCTCAGAGAAAATGGGAGAGTTAAAACTTCCAGAATGGTTTGCTGGGCAGGCAGCTGGTGATCGTTGGTCCCGGCGCCCTTAACTAAATAAAAAGTTAGTTTTTGTGGAAGAAAAAAAAAAACAAAACAAACCAACTTCCAGAATGGTGAAGAACTTTTTGAACAGCATACGTGATCTAATAATGTGAACTATGTTTATAGTAAATTAGTGTATTTGATTCCAATTTCTCAACCTTTACAGTTGGATGTCATCAACAGTGGGAACATCATCCTCTCTGCTAGTCTTTAACACATTTACTATATTTACTGTCATGCTACATGCTGTCACTAGGTTACTGTGGATCAAATCTAAGGTTTCTCACTTTTACTTTCGAGAGCTTCACTAAAGCACCTCCCTCACTCTGCCACTAGCCCAAACCCTGGTCTATTTCCTTCACTAGCATCTTTCATGCCATTTCTTTGTAAATTATATGTATAAAATTGTATTTATAAAGTTGCTATGTGTCATTAAATCAGAACCAACTTCTTGCTAACCCTCCTGTGAATTTTCACAGGTCATAAATTGGACTAGGTAGATAGGGTTTTCGAAGGCCTGTTATTTCAGAAGTGGATGGTCAATCCTTTTTCCTAGACTGTCTTAATTTTTTTTTATACTAGGGACCGGTCCTTGGAGAGGGACATCATGCTTGGTAGGGTGGAGGGACAGCGCAGGAGGGGAAGGCCCTCTATGAGGTGGATTGATTCAGTGACTGGGATAATTGGGATGGGAGTGTCAGAGACAGTGCGATTGGCACAGGACAGAGCAGAGTTTAGGGCTGTTGTACATAGCGTCGCTATGAGTTGCAAGTGAATCGATGGCACATAACGACAGCAACATCTGACAGACAAGCATTTTACAGAAAGGAGCAGATGAAAGACATTTACCCAATTAGAGAAATGACTAATAGCTTCAGTGTTGCTACCCAACCTTGCCACATGTGACTTGACCTACCCCTTTCCCTACTCCACCAGCATCCCTTCCTAATTCCACCTACATTATTCAACACCTCATTCCCCTTAACCAACCCTTGATATGATGGCTTAAGTCTCAAGCCTTCAGGGCTTCTGTGATTCCAAAAACCTCATGCTGCTGCCAGTCTCTGATGATGAACCTGGTATCTCTTAATCATCAACAACCTGCATTATGCAGATGACACAACGCTGCTTGCTGAAACTGAGGAGGACCTGAAGCACTTGCTGCAGAAGGTCAAGAACTGCAGCCTTCAATATGGATTGAGGCTCAATATCAAGAAAACAAAGTTTCTCACCACTGGGCCAATTGATCGCATCATAATGGATAGTGAAGAGATTGAGATTTTTAACAGTTTTAGTTTTCTTGGCTCCACAATATGTACTCTTGGTACAAGCAACCAGGAAATCAAGAAACAAATTTCATTGGGAAAATCAGCTGTCAGGGGCCTCTCCAGAGCACTGAAAAGCAATGATGTCAAGCTGGAGATTTGTCTGATCCAGGCCATAGTCTTCACAATTACATGCTATGCCTCAGAGAGATGGACAATGACTAGGGATGATAGCAAGAGAATTGATGCCTTTGAGCTGTGGTGCTGGAGAAGAGTGTTGTATATACCATGAATTGCTAGGAGAACAAACAAGTTCATCCTGAGAGGGTGAAACCGGGCTGTTCTTTGGAGGCAAGGATTCTGAAGCTTCGTCTGACATACTTAGGGCATGTTGTAAGGAGGGATTAGTTCTTGGAAAAGTACATCATTCTTGGTAGGACAGAGGGACAGTCAGTGACTAGGGTAATAGGGATAGCTGTGTCAGGCAGTGAGATTGGCACAGGATAGAGCAGGGTTTAAGGCTGTTGTACATAGGGTCGCTATGAGTCGTAAGTGACTCAATAGCACTTAACAGCAACTACAATAAATTGTATAAGAAGAATATTCCCATATTTCTCCCATGGAAAAGATGAGGGATTAAAAAACTAGTGGAAGTGCTCTTTGGAGGCAAGGGTGGTGAAGCTTCTCCTCACATACTTTGGGCATGTTGTCAGAAGGGGCTAAGCCTTTCACAGCGTGGTGTGAAAGACAGAAGATCAAGGAAGGAGAGGAAGACTCTTAACAAGATGGAGTGATACAATGACTGCAACAGTGGACTCAAGTAGGGGCCAAATCGTGAGGATGGTGCAGGATCGGGCAAGGTGCAGACCTGTTGTTCATAAGGTCACTATGAGGCATGGTCAACTGGACGGCACGTAATGACAACAAACTCATTGTCATGAAGTTGATTCTGACTTACAGTTACCCCATAGCACAAAGTAGAGAACTCCCCTGTAAGTTTTTAAGGCTGAAATCTTTGTGGAAGCGATTGCCACATCTTTCTCCTATAGTTGTTGGGTTCAACCCACCAACCTCTCAGCTAGCGGCTGAGTCCTCACCTCTGCACCACCTGGGCTCTTAATCCATGCTGCATAAATACTATTACCTTCATGTTTATAGGTAGAGCCAAAGGGAAACTGTTGGAGATTGCCTGTGAATGAGCCTTGCAGGAAATAGCACAGTTAGCTGAATATTTTTAAGAGACTTTCAGATAAAAAGGGTTGTTTACAGAAGTGTGAGCAGGGTTAATAGAACAAAGTTGGGGGCCAAGGACAAGGACTAGTGAGACACCGTTATTGAGGGGACAGAGGGAAGAAACAGTTGCACCAAAGGATGCTCAACCATCAGGCCCAGCAGAGGGAGGAGAGGGGATAAAAACCCTGCCTCTCCCCTCCAGCACTCTAGTTTTCTGTCTGTGCCTCTCATTGGCAAATCAGCTGAAAAGCAGACCAACCTGCGACTCAGGCCCCAGGACACAGAGCTGGGCAGCAAAAGACTGCAGACAATCAAGAGGATGTGTATATAGGTACAACGTGGAGAGTGGTCTGCTTCGGTGCCTTGTTATAGCTGTGAGAGGGGCTGTTGCTCTGGGTGCTGAGACAGTTCCACACCAGGCCACTCACCAAGACCCATGTGGTCAGTTCTCACAGCATGCTCTCTACAGCCTCAGGGCCATCTCTTGTGCTTCATGCAACACTTGTTTTGTTCCTTCCTACCTTCTATGTTCTTCAGCTCTTCCCTTTACGAGCAGTTTTTTCCACAACCCTCTTCCTAATAGTCTAATCCTATTTTTGGGGGTCTTTATTTCTTGTATTCCTTGTTCTCTGTAGTTATGTAGTTACTTGGCTATGCATAGCCCAGCCATCCTGCCGTAACTCTGACCCACCATCTTATTTCATTTGGCACTGAGCTGTTTCCTAGCACCCTTCATGTCTTTGTTAAGTGCACTTCTCCCCTTGGAGATCACTGTGTTTAGTTGGAACACAACTTCTTACATGGGAGACTCTAGACCAATATGCAGTGGATGCCAAAGCAAGCCTTCTACCAGGGACAGTGATGGGCAGTTCCGCTTCGGTGTCGCCATGCACAATATGAATGCAGACCTGAAGATGTTCCATCTGTGTCTTTTGAAAATCTTCAAAAATAGAAACACTTTAGTAAGACATTATTAACAGCTCTTTTGAAAGCCACTCTCTCTAACATTTCAAGACCATTCCACTGTAGACATATCCTCCAACAGACCCCCAAATTCAGGAGCTTTCACTATAGTACTACCCTCAAATATCTCCTCTCCACTGCAACCCATCTTTTGCCAATCCAGTTGAGATCTGGGTTCCAACTGCCACACGAGGTTTGTGGGAGCAAAGACCCATCCACAGTACTGACTGTAACTTTGTCTTGCATGTTTATTTTAGGTCCTACCAGAAGGAACACAGTCCAAAATAGAGGTTATCCCAGTGGGATACAAAATGCCAACTACCCAATGAGAGCCGCCCCTCCTCCCCCAGGTAAGCTGAGCATGCACCATCACCAGGCTGCTGTATCTGGACCTGCAGTGTCCCCCAGATACACAAGGGGAAGAAATCTATTAGCAAATGAGTGCATACATATTAACCAGCCAAGGGCCATTTCCCTGCCAGATGTGTTCCTCCCCACCCAGTTGCCTTACCTGTGACCCCCAAACTCAGGAAGAGTCAGAGTTAGTGAGACTAATCCATTAGGCAGTGATCTTACTCCCTCAGGAAAGACTCCCTGCCTCAGCTGCATAGAAAGGCGTTCGCTACTCAAGATAACTGGAATGTTGTCAGCCGCTAAGATGTAGGATGCTTCCTTTATGGAAATAGGACTTTTTCAGGTATAACCACAGCACCACCCACCTGCAGACAGATGCCCCTACATTATTTTGTAACTGGTTCAGCAGAACTGAATGTCCAAGGAAAATAACTTTATGCATAACTAGCATTCAGGAGACAAAAAGTAAAATTAGATCTGAGAGAATTATAAAGTCAGTATAAAAGCTATTTTGACCTTTATGTTGAGTATTTCTGATTTATTCAAATAATACAGATAAAACTTGTACATCAGGAAAATCTAAATGTATATAATTTTTTTTTAAAAAGACCTTTGCCCTTAAACATATTTTTGTTGTTCTTTGCCATCAAGTCAGTACTGACTCATAGCTGAACCTCGAGAAGGTTTTCAGAGGCAGTAAATCATATGAGAGGAGATTTCTTCTCCCTCAGAGCATCCGGTGGATTTGAACTATGGCCTTTAGGATTGCAGCACAGCCTTGCCACTAAGACCACCAGAGCTCCTTATAAACATATGTTTAGTGTTTAGAAAACACTGAAAAAGTGCACGAAGTTTTGTTTTGTTTCGGGGTAGTGTTTTTAATTGGATGTTTTTGTTTGTTTGTGGGGCTTTTTTTCAATCACTCACAAAATTCAATCTATATAAAACTGTTACCAGAATGCTTGGTGTTAGTAAGTGTAGGATTGAACCTCTGGAACGGTCATCTAAAGAACACACTTGACTCAGTTCACCCTAGACAATGGAATCCTAATGGAGCAGTGGCCAAGATAAGCTGTAAAACACATTTCTTTAGACTTTCTGTCTGGAATCTCACAGTTGTGGTTACAGTATTGACTCTGGTGCTGGATAGTAAAGAAATTCTCATGCCTTTGGATTTCCCCTTCCTGTCTTCCCTCTCCCTTCCCCTGTCCTTGAAATTAACAGATTAGCACAAAGGAACAGAAGAAAAGCAAAAAATTAGTGTTTTACCTACTTAATGCACCAGCTCCCAGCATGGAATTCTAGTCAGCTGGCTGGAGCATATGGAAAACTTTTTCTCAGCAAAGTAGCCTCAGAGCAAATCAGGCCACAAAGTCCCTATATGATCTTGAACTCCTCCATGACACTTTCTTCATCAGTAAAATGTTATTGGACCAGTGTCCCTTCATTAGTCCTTCTCAAACTCTCAGTAAGGAAGGATCAGGTTGAGTTTGGGGTTTTTGTTTGCATTTTTTTCACCTCTAATCTATCACAACTTTTATAAACTATCATAAAAATTCAATACTAAAAAAATGAAATTTCAAATAAAATAGGTTCATATTAGGTTCAATGGACAAGAAAATGGTGTCTGACAGATTTTTTTAGGAAAACTGCTAAATACTTATCCCCTGGGCATCTGAATGAGCAACGAAGTGAGTTGACCCCACACTGAGTGGCATTTCCAGGGAGGATGTCAGGCTGTGCCCTTCTGCTGGCACCACTTCTCCGTAAGAATGGGTCTCACTTCCTTCCCCCACCCCGGAAATCACACCTGTGGCCTGGATCGGAAATATTCTCTAAAGGGAGACACTCAAATGTCACCCCCTGGTGCTGGGAAGAAGTGACATAAGATGAAGAACAAAGGAAGCTGTTGCCACAATGTCTAGTGCAGGTCTAGCAGGTGAGAGGAATTGAGAGATTTCTGAACCTCTGTCAGAGCGCCACCCTGAGAGAGCTACAATGTAGGTGGAATCTGTTAACTGGGTAAAGGAAAATCTATTTCTGCGTAATAAAGGATTGAGATTACAGAGAAAATACAGATCCGGCCTGGAAGTGACCAAAGAATTCTAGACCAGTCTCCTCATTTCTTTAAGTGAAGAAGCTGGCACTTAGCTACCAGAACTGGAACCTATATTCCTCTTATAAATTAAAAGTCATCCTACTTATACCTAAGAGAATTTCTTCATGTGTCTGTTGGCTATCCAAGTATCTTCCTCTGTGAAAATTCTTTTAATGGTGATTAATTTTTATAAAACACAACGAATGAGGATGATAGTATAAAACACAATGAGAGTGAAGGATTGCAGCAAACACAATGTGTATGAACTTTGTATGCAAACCAGTATAAAATGTAAATTGAGGTCCTCTGCTAAATCGATTGGCAGAGAGCTTTTGGTGGAGTCCACCAACCATGCCTTGGGAGTCTTCTTTTCCTTCTCCACTCAGTATTTTTTCTTGTTTTTCTCCTTCACTCCAAGAGCAATATTAGTGGGAGAAGCAATAAGGATATCTTCATACATGACCTGGGCTGGTAACACCCCTGCTAGTCAGGACCCAGGGTTTGGACCCTCACATCATAATCCATTACTTACTGGCTGTTTCAGTCTTGACTAGGAATCATTGCATGGATCAGAGTGTTTGCTCCATCCAGATTGATCCGGCCAGTGGCCACATTTCCCCTGGTCCTGCTGAGAGCTCGGTCATCCTCACACACGGGTGCTCATGTTTCTGCTGCCTGTGCAGAGAACTCTCTCTGCCTCACACAATTTCTGTCATCACAGGAGACTAGAGCGAGGGCTACATGGTGGAGGGGACCTGGGGGAGGGTTTGTAAAACAATGAAAGAATCTTTTCTTTTACTTTTCCATAATTTTTGACTCATGTACTTATAACTTGTTAGTCAAATTTGTGTCTTCTAGGTTGCAACACCCCCATGATACATCTTCAAGGATATGAACATGTACAGCCAAGCACAATCAATAAGAGTGCATCTAAATTCCAAAATCAATCTCCATAATAGTCTATGTGTTTCCTACTGCCAAAGGGGCCCTTTAGAGTAGTGAGAGAAGATCTTCACCCTGAAACCCACAGCGTCCCTTTTCAGCAGGAAGTAGCTAAGAGAATACACCATCCCCTTTTCCTTATGACTCAGGGTGAAGTCTCTCTCAGGGAGGAGTGATAGGGAATGGCAAAGGACACACAGACAAAGAAGATTAATCAGAACTGGCTTTGACAAGCACTGTGGCATTTGGACAAGAACAAACTGGGAGAAGGGTAGAGAGAATAGTGCAACAATGAATGAGTGGAAGCCCAAAATCTCTGTAAATGTTTATGAAAATTAATAAAATATAATTATAGAAAAAAAAACAAACAATATGCTCCTGCAGTGTATGCAAAGCTGTCCAGCCCGGAAATGGGTGTCCAGCCACCTTCCAAGCCCTTTTGAGTCATAAGCTCATGATTTTTCTTAGACCTCTGAATTTGCCTGCCAGTGGCCTACAACTTTACCTTTCCTTAAGTGTGGGATTAGAAACTCTGAACATCTGCTGAGTCTGTTGTCAAAATTCAGCAGGCTTTTAGATAGAGTGTCTCCTTTGTTCTAGGCATTTGCTGGCAGTTTGATGCATTCGGTTGATGTATTTGCTCTAATTTTTAAATATGTTACCTTTAATCTGTTCTATTTTTTCAGGGGAACTAAGGCCCAAGTTAAGGCTTTGAGTTTGGAAAGCCAAGTGTCAAAACCACTAAGCTTTGTTTTCTTCACGTTTCCTGTCTCTAGGATACCATCAGAATGGAGTCCTCAAAAACCAGTTTGTGCCACATCCTCAGGGCCCTGGAAACCAAAGGTCCAATCCGAAAAGCCTTTACACCTCCATGGTCCGCCCACCTTTGCCACGGCAACAGTCCACTGGCACAGACCGAATGTCCCAGACGCCCGAGAGCCTAGATTTCCTTAAGGTTCCAGACCAGGGTGTTGCAGGGTAAGTGTCCCATGTCTTCAGCATGAAGCTGGAAAACTCCACCGTCATCACTTGCACCAAAGTTAAGGGATTTCTTTAGATTGTTACTGTGTTTCCAATTTAAATGTAGTCCAGGGCAAAAGGCCTTGAGGCCCATGGCTGGCATTTCTACATCAGCAACCAAGTTGATAGCACACAGCTCATTCTCCAGAAGTGTCCAGAGAACGCTTAGCCCAGAAGTTCAATTATTCCAACCTTTTCAGCTTTCTGGCAAAATGAAGGGTTATTGATTTATAACTGTGCCTGAAGTTGCAGAAACACAACATCTGACAGAGTCTTTAATGAAATGAAGAAGTACACTTCAGTATTCTATGAGATAGATGTTTCCTGGTGATAGAGTGGAGAATGTATCAGGCTGCTAATGCAGAGGTGCATGGTTTGAATCCACTAGCAGCTCTGCAGAGAAAGATAGGTGGTCTACTGCCATATAGATTTTCAGCCTCGAAAACCCAATGGAGGGTCACTGCAAGTCAGAGTCAGTTAAACGGCACTGTCATAGACTCCAAAAGGGGAGGAGGAAGGATTTAAAACCAGTGTGTGGAATTTATCAGGAAATAGATTTGGCATCAATATGGAGAATGCTTTAGTAGTACAAAGAGAAACTGCTCTAGGAAGTCAGGCGCACCTTGTCCCTGAAAGTGGACCACATTGTTACTGAAGGCAAGGGGTTCTTTCCGTAGTCAATTGTCAATAAGACAAATGGATTGAAATATCTATAAATGCACTTTATTACAGATCTGTGGAGGACAGTGGGCCTCAAAGACTGCCTCCCTGTCTGGGAGTGGTCATGGCCTTATATGTTGTTGTTGTTGTTATGTGCTGTTGAGTCGCTTGCGACTCATAGTGACCCTACGTACAACAGCCCTAAACTCTGCTCTGTCCTGTGCCAATCTCATTGTCTCCAACACACTCATCCCGATTGCCCCAGTCACCGAATCAATCCACCTCCCAGAGGGCCTTCCTCTCCTGCGCTGTCCCTCCACCCTCCCAAGCATGGTGTCCTTCTCCAAGGACTGGTCTCTCCTTACAGCATGACCAAAGTATGTCAGATGAAACCTCAGAATCCTTGCCTCCAAGGAGCAGCCCGGTTTAACCCTCTCCTGGATGAATCTGTTTTCCTAGCAGTCCATGGTACTCTCAATACTCTTCTCCAACACCAAAGCCCAAGCACACTAGGGTGAAACTCTAGCTCATTTAACAATGCACTTTTGTTAGTTAAAAAAAAAAAGGTGGTAATTTCTACATCTGAAAAGGACAGTTCCCATTTAAGTATCAGTAATTCAGGAAGGCCCCAGTTCTCTTTCTGGTAAATAGGCAGATTAAGATACAATTTACATATGACTGCAGAACCAGCTTCACCAGGATCTAGGATAGATACGTTTCCTCTTCTGGTAAACAGGCAGAGCAAACTACTCTACATGACCAAAGACAGGAAACAGAATTTGGAGGCTAAGCAACTAGTTTTGCAGGCTGAAGAAAAATAACTATAGTGTTATAACTGATACCTATATAGAGAATTCTGAACTTATTAATATCACCCTATCATTCCCCCCTCTTTATATAAGTCTTATATCTATAAGACAAACATACCACCCCATCAAGATGGTTTGGAATCATCAGGCAGAAATAATTGTAAAGAAGGATGTTATTAAGTTTGAGTTTTGGGGGAAGTCAGTTCTGGGTGAGGTTTCTCTTTCAGCCCTTTAGTAACTATGTGATAGTGGGTGGTCCTACTACTTCTTTTCTCTTTACTTCAGCTTCCTTTTCTGCATACAAACTGCAGAGTTATAGGGAAGAATAGAAATAACATATATTTTTAAAAATATACCTAGTGTGCTGTTTGGCATGTAGGAGGCTACTCAGTCACTTGTATCTCAAGATGAAGATGATGATGAAATCACCGCTGTTCCCTGGTGATTGAACTGGTGACGTTTAAAGAATCTTCTGACTCTGTAATCCTCAATGTTAGAGCACTTCTTTGAACTGTGCTCTAGTTCACTCTCTCACCTCTTTCCCTCTTTCAAGCCCATCTCCATTTTCCATTCTCTCCAGGTCTCCAGAAAGGTGAGAATTCCACAAGTAGATGACTTTAACAAACAAAATTATTCGCTCACAACTTAAGAGGGAGAAGCCCCAATTCAAGGCTTTGGTTCTTGGGGAAAGGCTTTCTCTCTGTGTGTCTTCTGACTCTAGGGGTTTCCCAGTACAGCAGCCTGGATCTAGAGGACTTGCTCCACTCCTGGATCGTCTTTCTTGGTGGCACTGAGATTCCTCCTTCTCTGCTTGCTTCTCTCTCTTGTAATCTATTCTAAGACAAAAAGTGGTGCAGACCACATCCCAGAGAAACTCCCGTATACCCAGTCAGGCCTGTGACTCGATTAAGGGCATTTTTATTGACAGATCATGGTATAGCGGTTGACTGCATCATTTCATAACTGTCACAGACCCTGCCTCTTTAACATGAAAGTTAGAATTTACAACATGTAGCATAAACATATAATCCTGAGAATCATGGGCTACCCAAATTGACACGTTTTTTGGGGAGACACAACTAAATCAATGATGGCTTCCAAATGGGGTCCAAGACGCTTGTATATAAAATAGAGTCATGGTGGGAGAGAAAGGGCAGTACCTTCCGCTGAGTTGGCAGCTAGACCCTGTGATCAGATGTGTTTCCTACTTTGGCATCTTCATCCTGAAAAACACAAAGAATGTTGTCATGGCCCTTCTCCTCTGGGCATGTTTTGCCTCATTTGGGCTACAGATCTGAAAGCATCTTAATTTATCAAATGGACGGCTATCGGTAAAATGGATCTTGCTCTCTTTCTCCCTCTCTTATGTAAATTGCATGTACCTGGTTTACCTAAGTGCCTTGGTCTGATCTGTTTTCCACTTGAGTATGCACCAGAACCCCCGAGAGGATTCGTGGTAGCTGTGATGGCTGAGCCACCTCCATGCTTCCTGACTCAGCAGGTCAGGGGTGTGGCCAAGAAGTTGCATTTCTGTTCCCAGGTGATGCAGAGGCTATACTGGTCCAGGGTCACATGATTAGGACAACTGATCTAAAGATTCCTGCTGTTGTTTGATCAATGAGGGGAAAGGGCATTGCATAAAGGTGAGTTAGAGAGGTGATGTAGAAGGCACAAGATTTCCACGAACACCTATAATGTTCAGGTGAGTAAACACCACCAAGAAAAGTCAGACAGCTTTTTTATCACCTTTCCTGGGTCCAGTTTTCTGTCCCCAAGTAGGGGAGGGATTAAAGCCAGCCAACGAAATGCATCATCTCTTAACTCGGTCTGCTAACTTCCTTCATACTTTGGTTTTGGCAAGCAAAGCCATTTTTCCAGCCTGCTCTGCAAGTCACAGACCTGCACGCCAGCCAGTTGGGAGCCTCTGTCAGCCAAAAGTAAAAAATTAGGGAACATCATGTCTTAACTGAGGCTGCTCCATTCCAGCCCTCAACTGTGTGGTTCCCTGTTTAAGACTTGCCCCACCCTTTGCTGGCTTCAGACCTACGATAGGTGCATACAGGGCTCTCTGGATGACTGGCTGTGAAGCCAGAGGAACAGCCACCTTCACGACTATCCGTCCACCAGGCTGCAAGATTTCCTAACTGCCTACTGTGTAGAAAACTCTAGAATACTTGCCTGCCTTTTCTTTCTACATTTCAGTCTGTAGTGTGAACATCCCTTAAGAAAGAGTATTCTAGTCAAAGGGCTGAGCTTTCCTGGTATTTATTTTCTAAAATTTGAAAATTAAATTTGTTTCTCTATAATGTGGCCAGGGACCTTGACCATGGAATTTCAGGAGCCTTGTGTTTATCTAAATATAACAGCTTCTCCTCTTGTTGTTGTGTTATGTGCCGTCGAGTCGCTTGCGACTCATAGCGACTCTATGTACAACAGCCCTAAACTCTGCTCTGTCCTGTGCCAATCGCACTGTCTCTGACACTCCCATCCCGATTATCCCGGTCACTGAATCAATCCACCTCATAGAGGGTCTTCCCCTCCTGCGCTGTCCCTCCACCCTCCCAAGCATGATGTCCTTCTCCAAGGACCGGTCTCTCCTCACAACATGTCCAAAGTATGTTAGACGGAGCCTCAGAATCCTTGCCTCCAAGGACCCACCCGGTTTAACCCTTTCCAGGACAAATCTGTTTGTTTTCCTAGCAGTCCATGGTATTCTCAATACTCTTCTCCAGCACCACAGCTCAAAGGCATCAATTCTCCTTCTATCCTCCTTGGTCATTGTCCAACTCTCTGATGCATAACAAGTGATTGCGAAGACCATGGCCTGTATCAGAAGCACCTTAGTCTCCAGGGAGATACCATTGCTCTTCAGTACTTTAGAGAGGTCTCTAACAGCAGACTTTCCCATGGCAATGCGCCTTTTCATTTCCTGGCTATTGGTGCCAAGACTGTTGACTGTGGAGCCAAGCAAACTAAAGCTATGTACAATCTCAATCTCTTCACCATCCATCCTGATGCTGCCAATTGGTCCAGTGGTGAGAATCTTTGTCTTCTTGACATTGAGCCTCAATCCATATTGGAGGCTGCAGTCCTTGACCCTCTGCAGCAGGTGCTTCAGGTCCTCTTCAGTTTCAGCAAGCAGGGTTGTGTCATCTGCATAACGCAGATTGTTGATAAATCGTCCACCAATCCTGACCCCACATTTCTCCTCATAGAGCCTAGCCTCCCGGATAATCTGTTCTGCTTCTCCTCTAGGTCATGAAACATGATTACATTTATTCTACAAGCAGTTATTGGAACAAATATGGAATATGAGGCTCTTGAGTTTGTACTCTTCTATGAATATGAAAATTCAAAATTATCCATCTGTACAAATAAAATCACCAAAGTTAATTCTTGGGGCTTCCCCATCCTTTGTTTTACTTCTTGCTTCTCCATGCATTTTTCTTTACATTAAACATAAGCAAACATTTCTTTTGGACCATTTAA